TCGGGCCAACACGGAGACGCTGATGCATGCTTTTATCACCAGTCGCATTGACTACTGTAATGCCCTGCTCTCTGGTCTTCCCAAAAAGAACATTTCAGGTTTACAATTACTCCAAAACTCGGCCGCACGTGTCCTGACTAAGACCAGGGGGCGTGTCCTGACTAAGACCAGGGGGCGTGTCCTGACTAAGACCAGGGGGCGGGACCACATTACACCGGTTTTAAAATCGCTGCATTGGCTCCCTCTGTGTTTCAAGATCGATTTTAAGGTTCTTTTAATGGTTTTTAAATGTCTTAATGGTCTTGGGCCTTCTTATCTTTCAGATTTGCTTTTATCCTATGAACCTTCCCGGCCCCTGCGCTCCTCCAGCAGCAGACTCCTAACCATCCCCAAAGTCAGGACACACACTCACGGTGAGGCATCTTTCCAGCATTACGGCCCCCGTCTCTGGAACAGTCTGCCGGAGGAGCTCAGGGCCGCAGAGAACGTTCATATTTTTAAGAGTAGGCTCAAGACACACCTTTTTAGAGTAGCTTTTGATTAGTATTTATTATTTATTATTGCTTTTTAGTACATCTATTTATGTTTTTAGACACATTCTATTTTTATTTATTTTTTATTATTTACTATTTTTAATTATTTATTGTATTTACCCATTTACTATTGTTATTATCAATATTAGGCAGCTGCCATTTTTCTTTTTAGTGTCTCATTTTATTGTTCTACTTTCTATTGTAATATTGTATTGTTTTAGTGTCCCCAGTGTTTCCTCTGGAGGAGCCCTCTGCACTGAGAGCTGGGGTCTGCTGTGGCTTCGGGGGTCTGGCTCTTGGATCCGGTGGGGGTCTGGGGCCTCCTCTCTCCTCTGGGTCCTATGGGGTCTGAGTCCTGGGCCTGGTGGGGTCTGGGGCCCCTCTCTCCTCTGGGTCCTGTGGTGTTCCCTGTGGCTGCAGCCGGCTCTCTGCTCCTGGTGCAGATGGCTTCTTGGATGGCGCTTCTTCAGCCGGTTACATCTGCACCCAGCCCCATTTCTTTTTATTGTTTTACCTATTGTACCTGATGTGACTTTATACTTGTATGTGTGTGTCTGTGTGTGTGTGTGTGTGTGTGTGTATGTGTGTGTATGTGTGTGTGTGTGTATACGCATGTGGTTGTACATATAATTATAAATGTGGTTTTGGGGGGGTCTGTGGGGAGGAGGGTTTGGTGTTGGGCATGTTGGATTGTTTTTAACTAAACTGTAAAGCACTTTGTGTTACACTTTTTGTATGAAAAGCTCTTTATGAATAAAATTTGATTGATTGATAGAGAGAGAGACCAGAAAGAGATCAGAGACCGGAGAGAGATCAGAGAGAGAGACCAGAGACTAGAGAGAGAGATCAGAGAGAGATCAGAGACTAGAGCGAGAGATCAGATAGAGAGACCAGAGAGAGAGACCAGAGAATAGAGAGAGATCAGAGACTATAGAGAGATCAGAGACTAGAGAGAGACCAGAAAGAGATCACAGAGAGAGACCAGAGACTAGAAAGAGAGACCAGAGACTAGAGAGAGAGACCAGAAAGAGATCAGAGAGAGAGACCAGAGACTAGAGAGAGAGATCAGAGAGAGATCAGAGACTAGAGCGAGAGATCAGATAGAGAGACCAGAGAATAGAGAGAGATCAGAGACTATAGAGCAGTGTCTCCCAAAGTGGGGTCCGCGGCCCCCTGGTGGGCTGCGAGGGTACTGCAGGGGGGCCGCGGGAGGTCATTAAAAAAAATATATAATTATTTAATGTTAAATTTATAATGTTTTGTTTGTAATATTAAAATATCTGTGTTCATTATTTGACTTGAATAATCCACTGTAATCATTTTTGTATTACAATGTTTGTAGCAGAGGCTATTTCCCCAAAATAAAATAACCAGAAGAGCCTATTCTTAATGTTGTCTTCTTGGTTATTATTTTGGGGGGCCACGCAGACCCGTCAGATTTTTAAGGGGGCCTCGGTGTTACTGAGTTTGGGAATGGCTGCTATAGAGAGATCAGAGACTAGAGAGAGACCAGAAAGAGATCACAGAGACCAGAGACTAGAAAGAGAGACCAGAGACTAGAGGGAGAGACCAGAGAGAGATCACAGAGAGAGACCAGACTAGAGAGAGAGACCAGAAAGAGATCAAACAGAGAGACTAGAGAGACCTTAATGTGTCTTAATCTTCCCAATATAACATACAAGAAGGAATGTCCTTCTCCGACGACAGTTCACAATAATAAGGCGTCTTGATGTTCAGATTAATTAGATTAACTAATGCTATAGTAGAAACAGCTCTGAGTATTTAGACTGACACTACCGATCAAGAGACTGAATCTGAATTATTAAAAAGTTATTCATTGAAGCATGTTTATGGTGAGTCAAGACTTAAGCCATGAAGGTAAGAAGAGCTGAACTTTCTGATCACTGGGATGCTGAGCCGAGCCATGTCTGACCACACAATTCTACTTATGGTGACATCTTTTTGTGTGGATGGATGTGTTTATGCGGCGACTAGACACCTGCATTTCTCCTACAGGGATCAATAAAGAATCTTTCTCTGTTTCTGTTGGTTTATCAGTAAAGCTGTGGTTCCTTTTGAAAGGGGAAACTTCTTTTCAGAGAGACACAAAAAGACGCAAGAAAAACTTTGTGTAATGATTGTGTTGGGGTCAAATTGATGAAGATGCCGTTTAAACTTTGCTGGTCCTGGCAAAAGTCTCCAGTCTTGTGTTCGTTGCATAATTGATCCTTTGCGGCTGCTCCTCTGTACACCTTACAGTTCAATACAGTCCAAATGTGGCCACATATTCAGTTTTTTTTTTTTACCATGTGACAAATTTAAGGCAATTTAGGGAATTTGGAAAAATTCTAAAATTGCTCTTTTGTATTTTACAGAGTTATCCCTATTATGTATTAAATCATGGTGGCAAAGTTTTCACTGATTTGTTTAAAATTTTTAGTGGTAGTTGGTTAAATGGGATATTGTGATTTCACAAGAAGGGATCGTTTGAAATGGTTCAATTTGAAAATGTTGAATATTGATATTTATCTGTTTCTATATATATTTATTGTGAGAAATTGTTTAGATTGATCAGTGTTTCACAAAGTTAAATATCATTATTTATTAATATGTAACAGAGATTAAAAGTAAATTGAGCAAATTGGCTTTTTCTGGATATATGTAATTGTGTAACAACTGGTAGCCTTCGCTTTAATCAGTACCGGAGAAGTAGCTCTTGGTTTCAATAAGGTTGTGACCCTGGTTTAGTTCTTATATGAGAGATAGAATGTTTCGGTGTGAGAGGTTGGTGACTTTGTTTCCATCCACATTGCCCCTGTCGTGTGGAGGTGCCGCAAGGGTCCATTCCTTGGGGCCCTCCTGTTTTCGTTGTATTTGTTGACCATTAGGAGTTATTCTCCGGAGGTGTCTATTCCATCTGTCGCAGATGACAGCCAATTCTATGTGCCGCTTAAAACTTTTTGCAGCACCCAACTTCTGGAGTGCTTATCTGAAATCAAAATGTGGACGCAGCAGAACTTTTTACATTTTAATGAAAAAAGAGTGAAGTTCTGCCACCTTGGTCGGGACAGCAATGGCAGCAGTTGCTCCGTCGGACCTGGACCTCGAACACAATTTGTTAAGCTCCATTAGTTTCAATCCTTGGAGTTGAAAATGGATGCTGATTGTAATTTGATAAACAAATAAGTGCTGTAGTGAAGTCCAGGTTCTTTCCATTTAAGGCAACTTGCCAAAATATAAAGTCCTCCACTTTCAAGACTAAATGTCGAAATTTTAGGATCACTTTGTTTTAAGACCTCGGCAGGACTATTGTAACGCCTTGTACACAGGTATCAGCCAATCTCGCTTGCTGTCTGCAGATGGTACAGAATGCTGCGGCGCGTTGTTAACAGGGACAACTCGGAAGTATGAGCATTATCTCTCCAGTCCTGTCATCCCTTCATTGGTCTTCCTGTTCGCTTACCGGATTGATTTTTATAAGTCCTTCTGTTTGTTATTAAATGCCTGAATGGCTTGATCCGCATTATCTGTCTGGACCTATCTGACGTCATACTCTCCATCACGTTTCTTAGATCGACAGATCAGGCTCTGCTCTGGGTTCCTGACTAATCGGAAACTCAGAGGAGATCGAGCTTTATTCGGTTGTTGGTCCTAAATTATGGATGAGCTGCCATTGTGTGTTTGACTGTCTGAGTCACTTCCTGTTAGTCTCGTCTTAAGGACACCTTTTTTCTCACTTGCTTTATTTGATTTTTTTTTGTGTAAATAGTGTTTTTTCTTTTTGCCCACTGTTTGTATTTTGTAATATGTATATTTGTGTATGAGTATTTATGTGCAGCACTTTTTTTTTAGTGCTTTTTAAATTTTGTAGGTTATAACTTAGGGCAGGACCAAGCCTGTCCACTCTGTTTACCATTGGACCAATGGAGAGATACAGCTTCAACGGAGCCATGGGTCAGCACATGCCGCCCATCAATCATGAGGATTACAGATGCCAAACGAGCAAATAAAGTCACCACGGGGATAAGCACCTCTGTCTCTCTGCCTGCCGTAGAGATCAAAGATCACAACACTGCTCGCTCACAGACTCTGCCACCGGACAATCAAGACTCCCCCGCGGCGCTCTGAAGGCCCCCTTGTGAATCAATGGACCACTATCACACCCGGGACGGACAATTGCGAACCGGTACCACTGGGTCCAGTATACTCCAATATTTCTGCATTGTGCCCCATATGTGTGTATCAGTGTCAATGTAATGAAATACGGTGTGTGTTTGTACATGTCTTGATTGATTATTAGCATCAATCCTGTGTGTTTCCTTTACAAAATGTATGTTGTAAAAAGGGTCTGTCCACAGAGGGCAGGGGCGGCCATGGGACACGCCCCCCTGGGAAGCGCCTATATGAGCACCACACGCCATTGTTCTTTCTCTGTTTCTCCCGAATCCACTATAAACAAACCACCCCATGGTACGGTCCTCTTCACGGCCTAAGCTTCGCAACCATCACCCTAATCAGCCCTGCGGCCACGCAAGTACGCGCTCCAGCAAAGACTGTGCCATCGCCCCGAGGCCTCCCGATTCCAGCAAGCCTCCTTTCTGGGTGGAATTACGAACTGTCATAACCAGACTATTTCCCGGCTCGCTGTGCACCAGAGCTGGGACCAAAACTAGAGGCTTCTTAACTCCAGCCTGCACGGACAAAGATACCACGTGGGGCTGGTTTCCCAACCCAAAGCCCTTCTCCATCTCTACGCTCCTCCAAAGTAAGATGCTCCATGTTCAAATGTTCAATTTGATTGGAATGTGTACAGTTCCTACCTCAATGTGACCAGATATCCCTTTTCGTCATGCTTCGTCCCACTTTGGAATCAATATATCCCTTTTCTTTTATCTATCCTATCTGAGTCGTGTTTAGTTAAGATCTCGGACTATCACTGGCGGATAAAAGTATTTCTACAACCTTAGATTATAGATTGATATCGAGGCAAGATTTTTTTTGGTTGGTCTGTGACGTGCGTCACACACACAAGGCTGGTGCAAAATAAATTTAAAGCATGACCAACACTACCAAATTTATACTAATATAGCAATTATATCAGCAATATTAAGTTGTCACCCTACAATAATAACTGGATTGGATTGTATGGCAGTTTTTTTAACCTGAGACTAGAACGGTCAGTGTATAGAAGCCTGTCTACGTTTCTGAAAGGACTCGTCAGCCCTAACATGTGCTGACCATAGAGTAGAACTGTTTGTCACAATATCTTGATAGTGTCTTACCATGCACATTTGTACAACTGGGGGACCGAGACAGGCAGATCCAAACTAATGTTGCTAACGTGTTGCTAAGGGAAGCTGGAGTTTACCCAGTGAATGAAGGTTTGGCTCGTATCGGGACTTTACCAAGATATTATTACTGGTATATAGATGGATTTTTCTAACTTCTGGAAGGATTCATCAAGACTATTGGTTCACTCCCAATCGTCAATCATTTTGGTGATCGTCAAATAAGACCGAGGTTTTGTTCAAGTGGAGACGGCGGTTCTTTCATAAAATTAGGGAAAATCCTCCTTATGCCTTCAAACTAAATAACAGCAGAACATAGAGATCACTATTTTGATAAGTCAAAATGGCGTGGTCAAGTGGAGCTATAAGCAAGTTGGAGCAAAACTTTGTCATTGAATGCTTTAGTGGGTTTCTTTGAGCTAGGGGGGGGGAAGCATTGATCAGTTCAATATATACAGTCTATGTTCATTTAGGAGTGCCTTAGAACTTTTCCTCTTTTGCTTTCGACAGGTATTTTCTGAGGGATCCTCGAAGAGCACAATCTGACATACTCACTTTTACCTTGTCATATTTTGCTCCCAGTGGATCTTCCCTCAGTCACTCTTAATAATAATTCAGATTGACTTTTAAATGGGCTGTGTTGGCTCTCCCTTTATGGTTTATCACAAGAGCAGCAACTGTTGTTTTCATCTGTCCATTATGCAACACAGCAGACATCATCAACATAATTATCAAGAAAAACATTGAATCATGTACCGTCAACTGTGAAGATGTCCATTGGTATCAGTGGATATACACAGCATCTCCCAAAAACACTTGGAATGGTTGAATAAAAAGCTCAATCAAACATTGAAACGGAAAACAGGCCGTGAATCGTTGAGGTTAGTTAAACGGTATCTGCTTTACCAACCCATTTGCACACACATAAATTCTTGCCGGACTTTGCTATATGTCAAGGGTGATTATCAATAATTCCGCCAACTTATTTCCTCGCTCTCACGCTGAAGCCAACAATATTGTAACCTAGTTCTTACACGGCCTCAGGTACGTATGCCATTCGGACAATGGACTTCCCATCCTCTGACTGCCATCCTCGGAGCCAATAAATCAGTAAAGGTTAACGGCCAATGTTACCTTTTCCAATAGTGGATCCAGCATGTGTCAACTGTGCAGCCACGGGTTTAATGTATGTTTACAGACACGCCTCTTCAGTTCCCACCAGAAAAACGAAGAAAACCCCTACACACACCAAAAACCGTGTGTTCTGCGTGTGGGTGGCTTGAATGGGAAGCTACACGCGTTTGCCAATTTTTCCACTGAAAGCCTATCTGCTCGACATTAAAGCAGAGGATCCGTTACTCCATCGCGCCATGACTCAATGGCTATAAACTTGTGGAGTTTTGGTGCCGCGGCTGTTAATATTATGTGATATCTACTCAATTTTTTATATCTTCTACGGAACAACCGCGGATGCAGGCTGACAAATAATGTATATTTTAAACCGGAGTGTAACGTTACTGTAAGAAATGGGGTCTGTTGCGCTTCATCAGGGTGGCTCTATTCGGCGGAGTGTCTTGGTCATAACGGCATCTTGAGTTGTTAGAGGGATAAGCGCATTATGAAAGCGTTCAGGAAGGATATAAAAAACATGCTGTATCAAGGTGGTGCGCGTCAACAAATACGATTTGAAAGTGTGTAGGCCTGTAAATGATAAGCCTACATAAGGTTTACTGTGATGATGCAGGACCAAAATATAAATCTCTTCCAAGGTCAAAACAGGCTAGTGGGAGTGTAATAGTATTCAAATAGTATTCATTATTTGTACATGTGTTTATTTTTGAACGATAATAGAGGATCTTCATTTGGGATTTGGCTCTAACCACCCAGGCTCTCAAGGGCTTAGACCAGCATGTCAAACTCCCCAAGACTATTTTTAGTAGCCCTAACATGTTTTTTAATTCAATTATTGGTATTGATAATGATGGGTACAACCATGGCGTGGAAATTTATCACCTTATTTCTCAAGATAAAAAAACTATATTCAATTCCTTCATTTCAACCCAGCGCATCATAGAAGTTTTATAGTAGGTCCTGAGTTCGAATCCCGGTCGGAACAGGGCATTTCTGTGGAGTTAGCATGTTCTCCCCGTGTCTGCGTAGGTTTCCTCGGGTTTCTCCGGTTTCCCCTACCATAAAAAATCTTGTACAAAAGCTGTGGGCTTGCGCCTCCTGTACTGGCGACCCTGCTACCATCTCTGTGTGAGTGAGAGGACAAATGCCCAAATAAATAACAATTGTAAACCGTTTGAGACTCTGGTCCGTGAAAAGGCGGGATATAAATATAGGATTACTTACTTACTTACTTATATACAACATTAGTTAAATCTTTTTTGGCTAGCGAGCCAGGGGCGGAGGGGTCCGGTTCGGAACCACAGAATTTCATCCCTGCTTTTTGCGGGTGATATTGTCCTGTTGGCTCCAACGAAACAGGGACCTGCTACATGCACTGGGACGGTTTGCAGCCGAGTGTGAAGCGGGATTGGGATGTGAATCAGCACCTCCCAAATCCGAGGACATGGTGCTCGACCGGAAAATGGTGCCTTGCCCTCTGCGGTGGGTGGAGAGTCCTTCCTCAAGTGGTGGAGTTCAAGTATCTCTGGGGGTATTGTTCACGAGTTGGGAGATATGGAGCGTGAGATTGACAGGCGGATCTTTGCAGCGGGCGCTGTATCGGCCGTCGTGGTAAAGAGGGAGCTGAGCCGAACATCGAACGGATGAAGTGGAAGTAAATGGATGGATGGAGGATAGTTTAACTTTAACTTTGGTGCTAGTTTTGGTTAAATCCAAATAATAAATACATTTGTTTACTTTGAATGCGCTGGAAACTGCAGCAAGTCCGAAATACCTCCTGATTCGTTTGTGCTGTACAATTGTTGTTTTTCTTCGTTACTTTTGTTCTCCCCACTGAGATGTGTGCAGGGAGAGTGTCATGGTTTTGCACTGCTGTTTGACCTATTATTAGCTTTTAGAATTGTTTTTTTTTTTTTTTGTGCTGCTATGGACACCTGAATTGCTCTTCGGGGTCTATCCTGACTAACACAGAACTAAAGTGGTTGTGAATTAAAACTGAGATTGTATACTTGCTTCTTTACTAGGCTAAAGTTAGCCATTTTATACTTTCTTCTATATGCTAAAGCCAGAGATTTTACACTTGCTTCTTTATTATGCTAAAACTAGTCATTCGATTTTACTATAGAGTTACGGTTCTTTTATCTTGTGCTGTGTGCGTCTCATTCCTACTCCTCTGTTACTGCTGACAAGTGGAACGAATACACAATCTCGTCATCTTAATCTTAATTTCTTTACATTTGGCAGCTGTATCTGTGCCATCTCTTGTTATTTTGAGTTTCCTTTTGAAATCTCTCTCGGATATGTTTGGACTTCTACCAGCTGGCAAGTTTCTCTGTGATTGTCAGATGTCTCTCTCTGAGGTTTCTGGAGAAAAGTGTCCCATGTGTGAGAACGATAAAGTCTGATGCTGAGACAAGAAAGTGTATCGCCTTTTTGGCCTCAGCTGCTATGGTTCAGATTCAGTTTATTTGCCCTTTGCCGTAAAACCACATTAGAATACATGTGCAAGAGTTCTCAGTATGCACCAGAAAAGTACGTAAATATTACAAGCTAAAAAAAAAAACAATTGTCGCTGTGAAACTAATCCACAAAAACCTTAGCATATCCTTCCTTGGTTGGTCCTTCAACCAACAAGATCTACTGCCACAGGGAAGAACAAGGCTTTTTCCAGCGGCTAGAAGAATCATCGATAATTCTATGAGCTGGATTTATGTCTGGATTCATTATCAACCTCCAGAACAGACAGATGAGTGTCCTCTTTCAGAGACCGGAGAACCTCTCTCTAGTCTCTCTCTGGTCTCTCTCTGGTCTCTCTCCTATCTGTGGTCCTTCTCTGGTCCCACTCCAGTCCTTCTCTGGTTTCTCTCTCTCTCTGGTCTCTCTCTCTGGTCTCTCTCTCCTCTCTCTGGTCTTTCTCTGGTCTTTCTCTGGTCTCTCTCTGGTCTCTTCCTCTCTCTAGTCTCTCTCTAGTCTCTCTCTAGTCTCTCTCTAGTCTCTCTCTAGTCTCTCACTGGTCTCTCACTGGTCTCTCACTGGTCTCTCTCTCTCTCTCCTCTCTCTAGTCTCTCTCTGGTCTCTCTCTGGTCTCTCTCTGGTCTCTCTCTCTCTCTAGTCATTCTCTGATCTCTCTCTGGTCCCTCTCTGGAGTCTCTCTTGTGTCTATCTCCGGTCTCTATCTCCCTCTCTCTGGTCCCTCTATGGTTCCTCTCTGGTCTCTCTCTGGTCTCTCTCCAGTCTCTCTCTCCCTCTCTCTGGTCCCTCTCTGGTCCCTCTCTGGTCCCTCTCTGGTCCCTCTCTGGTCTCTCTATGGTCTCTCTATGGGCTCTCTATGGGCCTTCTCTGGTCTCTCTCTCCCTCTCTGTGGTCCCTCTCTGGTGTCTCTCAGGTCTCATGGTCTCTCTCCGGTCTCTCTCTCCCTCTCTCTGGTCCCTCTCTGGTCTCTCTGTGGTCCCTCTCTGGTGTCTCTGTGGTCGCTCTCTCCCTCTCTGTGGTCCCTCTCTGGTCCCTCTCTGGTCTCTCTGTGGTCCCTCTCTGGTCTCTCTCTCACTCTCTGTGGTCCCTCTCTGGTGTCTCTCTGGTCTCTCTCTCCCTCTCTGTGGTCCCTCTCTGGTCTTAGAGTTTGTGGTGTGTTCTCTAAGTTCCCACAGAAAGCCCAGTCCATGGTGTGGTCACTGTGGCAGACATTGTATAAAGGAGATTATAAGTTTTCTTGTTGCAACTTTTCTCTTTTGTTCTATAGAGTTTCTGTCTTACATTGGGTCCTTTGTTGTGCTGATCTAAAAGCCTCACAGCAAATGGTTTGATCCCTGAGTCCACAGCAGTCTCTCTGTGTGGACTTTGCTGGTTTCTCCCACAGACTGTGATGAAATTCAATTCAATGTATTCTTGTATCGCCCTAAATCACAACAGTAGTCATCTCAGAGGACTTAACACAGCTGTCGATTCACCAACACAGATCAGAGAATCAAACAGTTCAAAGACAAGAAATGCAACGATAGAAAACACAGAGTCATTGGTCCATCAGGGACAGAGACCAATGTGAGAGAGGGATCCGCCCCCACAGACCGACAAGCTGTAGATCCAGGACTAAGTTAAATGAGTGAATATAAAATCCTTCAGTTGTTGCAGAAGCAGAACCTATTTTATCCTGGATTTGAACATTGTCAGAGAAGAAGTTTGTCTCTCGTTTTCAGGAAGACTGTTCCAGATTTTAGCTGCATAAGGCTGCCTCCCCATGTTTACTCCTGACTCTGGGACCAGCAGAAGCCAGTCCCTGTGCTCCCCAGAGTTCCAGCAGGAGGCCAGTCCCTGTGCTCCTCAGAATCCCAGAAGGAGGCCAGTCCCTGTGCTCCTCAGAATCCCAGCAGGAGGCCAGTCCCTGTGCTCCCCAGAGTTCCAGCAGGAGGCCAGTCCCTGTGCTCCTCAGAGTCCCAGCAGGAGGCCAGTCCCTGTGCTCCTCAGAGTCCCAGAAGGAGGCCAGTCCCTGTGCTCCTCAGAATCCCAGAAGGAGGCCAGTCCATGTGCTCCTCGGAGTCTATCCGTTCATAAGTATTTAACTTTTTATTTCGCTGCAGAATACAAAGACCTTGTTTTGAATCGAACCCATGACCTTCTTGCCGTTATACACAAGCACTAACCACTGCACCAGCCCTCAGCTCCATGCATGAACCCAGAGCTGTCTTTTGGACCAGGCTCTACAGCACACACTTTATACAGATGGACAATGATAACCGGCTAGCTCAATGAAGCTAAATAGTGTAATCTTTATTCATCTTTATTTATAAATGTTTCACGGAACAGAGTCACAAAGAGCTCCACAGAGATAGAGCAGGTCACCTATAGAAGGAACATACCAGACCTATTGTATGTGTTTTATAGGAAAAACCGGAGCACCTGGAGAAAACCTACGCAGACATAGAGAGAACAAATCAAGCAAACTTGATTCGAACCCAGGACCTTCTTGCTGGAAGCGAAAGTGCAATCCCATCAATAGAGACGTTCTCATAGACAACTCACTCTATAAATTCAAATATTTAGTCTCTTCTGATTTATTCCATTAAATATAAAAACTCCTGATACTTTACATGAACTCTCAGAGTGTGTGAGAGTTAGTTTAATTTGTTTTCATGTTGATTAAACACATTTTACCACTTTTAATACAGCTTTTAAAGATACGCTTAGGTTACTTCTTCTCTTCCCCAGGACTCCTCTGCCTCATCTCTCACCTCCTCTGCCTCATCTCTCACCTCCTCTGTCTCATCTCTCTCACCTCCTCTGCCTCATCTCTCACCTCCTCTGTCTCATCTCTCTCGTCTCCTCTGTCTCATCTCTCTCGCCTCCTCTGCCTCATCTCTCTCACCTCCTCTGCCTCATCTCTCTCTCCTCCTCTGTCTCATCTCTCTCACCTCCTCTGTCTCATCTCTCTCACCTCCTCTGTCTCATTTCTCTCGTCTCCTCTGCCTCATCTCTCTCGTCTCCTCTGCCTCATCTCTCTCACCTCCTCTGCCTCATCTCTCTCACCTCCTCTGTCTCATCTCTCTCGTCTCCTCTGTCTCATCTCTCTCGCCTCCTCTGCCTCATCTCTCTCACCTCCTCTGCCTCATCTCTCTCTCCTCCTCTGTCTCATCTCTCTCACCTCCTCTGTCTCATCTCTCTCACCTCCTCTGCCTCATCTCTCGCCTCCTCTGCCTCATCTCTCTCACCTCCTCTGTCTCATCTCTCCTCCTCTGCCTCATCTCTCTCTCCTCCTCTGCCTCATCTCTCTCGTCTCCTCTGCCTCATCTCTCTCACCTCCTCTGTCTCATCTCTCTCACCTCCTCTGTCTCATCTCTCTCACCTCCTCTGTCTCATCTCTCTCACCTCCTCTGCCTCATCTCTCTCACCTCCGTCTCATCTCTCTCACCTCCTCTGCCTCATCTCTCTCACCTCCTCTGCCTCATCTCTCTCACCTCCTCTGCCTCATCTCTCTCACCTCCTCTGTCTCATTTCTCTCTCCTCCTCTGCCTCATCTCTCTCACCTCCTCTGCCTCATCTCTCTCACCTCCTCTGCCTCATCTCTCTCACCTCCTCTGCCTCATCTCTCTCACCTCCTCTGCCTCATCTCTCTCACCTCCTCTGTCTCATTTCTCTCACCTCCTCTGTCTCATTTCTCTCTCCTCCTCTGCCTCATCTCTCTCACCTCCTCTGCCTCATATCTCTCACCTCCTCTGTCTCATTTCTCTCGCCTCTTCTGCCTCATCTCTCTCACCTCCTCTGCCTCATCTCTCTCACCTCCTCTGCCTCATCTCTCTCACCTCCTCTGCCTCATCTCTCTCACCTCCTCTGCCTCTGCTCTCTCACCTCCTCTACTACTCAAACATTTATTATCTGCAAACATTTGACACTTACTGTAAAATTAAAAATACATGAAGTAAAAGAGTTGTTAATGTGGGACCATTACACGCACACACACACACACACACACACACACGCACACGCACACATCTCCTGTTCTGAGGCTCTAAATACATCTGAGAACAACACGTGCCTTTTGTGCCGTGATCTTGAGGGTTCAGGAGGAGCTGGGATGAGGAGCTGGGATGAGGGAGTGGCTTTCTCTAAAACATGTCACAGACCTGAGGAAAAGGGAATGAGAGAGGATTGTAAAACTGTTGTGTTTAATAAAGTATTTATACAGTCCCTTTAGTTCGTCTGGTCGCTCTCTCAGGTCTCTCTCCCTAGTAGTGTCTCTTTCTGGTGTCTCTATTTCTGGTGTATCGCTCTCTCTGGTCTTGCTCTCACACCTCTGAAGCTAAGCAGGGCAGGGCCTGGTTAATGCAGTAATGGAAGACCTCTGGGAACACCAGGTGCCACAGTGGGGCAGCTGCGTCTGTAAGGTGCCGAACTGTGGTTCTGTCCGTAGGCAAGACACTTCATCTACATTAGAATGAGTCTGGTGTGAGTGTGAATGGTTGCTGGTGGTGGGAGGGACTGATGTCACATACTGGTTGCCTCGCGTCTGTCAGTGTGCCCCAGGGCAGCTGTGGCTGCAGTAGTAGTTTATCATATCTGTGTTTGAAGAGAATGATTAATGACATGTGAAATGTGACGTCCAAAAAAGCGCAAAAAAGTCACACATTATTATTTTTATTATCATGAATAAAAGTGATGGCCTCGGGAATATGGTATGTGTGTGTATGTGGTGTTTTGGTAATTAGACTGAAAACCAAATCATAACGGCAAAGATTAGACTGTAAAATGAGAACTGCTGAGCCTGTAAATGTCATTCATCTATCCATCCATCCATTTTCTTCCCCTTAATCCATTTCTGGGTCGGGGGGGTGGCAGTCAGAGATGCACCCAGGACACAGAGCACCAGCCCCTCACTGATCCTCCTGCAGGTGGTGAGTCCACAGGAGCTGAGATCTTTCAGTTGGGGCTTTGGGCAAAGTAGGGTTAAGTGTCTTGCCCAAGGACACAACAACAGCAGTCATCAGTGCGAGTTGTGAAGTATGTCTTACGGTGGGCTTGAACCCACAACCTTCAGGCCTAAAGGCCAATGCTCTACCAACTGAGCTACTGTCGCCCTCTGTCATTCATCTATAAATAAGTAAATACTAAAATCATGAGCAAAACTTACAGCTAGCCAAGAAACATAGCTACTACTTCTACTGTATATTTTGGATGCTCCCTGTGGGCTCTTACTACTGTCCTGTATGCGTGCTGCAACATTGAAATGTTCCCACTATGGGGCGAATAAAGGATCTCTTGTCTTGTTGAGGATCTAACCAGTTTTGTCTGTATGTAGGTAGATAGATAGATACAGTAGATAGAGAAGCATTTACAGCTACTCATCTCTGTATAGTTTCTCATATCTCTTCTTATTGTTGCTAAGTCTACCTGCTAAAGGACTACAGATGGAAACAAGCCTTAAAGTGGTTCTCACCCTCGCTCCTCGAGGCCTACGTCACTCACATTTCCTGTTCAAATCTCCCTCTAAATGGGCGTAGCCTGGAGGACTAAAGGGGACAGGCGGGGGGGTGAACGAGACTGGGCCGTTTATGTACCTCAGGGCGTGGAGCTGCTGACGTAACGAGCCACTGCTGACGTAACGAGCCACTGCAGACGAAAGCGGCCACTGCTGCGGCCAATGTTGGCGCCAGATTCAAAATTCAAATGCAGTAATACAGACCGCCTGCAGATGGCGCCTCACAGACTTTTTTAGGCATAAAGTTGAACTTTCAACTCGTTTGCACCAAAGTGAAAAATGTTTGACCAGGATATGTACACAACACTATTGGACACTCATTTATACAGTTTTTCAGCAAAAAAAGGTGGATTTGAGGGTGAGTTGTCCTTTAATGAATAAATCTGACTCCACTTCATATAAACACATTTATGGGTAACAGTGGTAATGATCCACACTCGATATTTACCAACATTTATGGACTTTTATTAGCATCATTCTGTCCCTTATGGACCAAAGCCTCTATGTGTGTTCTATCATTTCCTGTGTTTGAACCGTTTGATTCTCTGATCTGTGTTGACGAATCGACAGCTGGGTCAGACTTTGCAGAGGGTTTGCCGCCGGTTATGGCTTGAATATTTATGAAGTTACAACCTCAGTTCAATCTACCACTGACCATATCAAAAATGAAAGATCTAGGAACTGATGTTTGAGTGAATTATAGCATTGGCGCAAAGACCATCAACATAGACAAGGGGGCCTTCACCTTGACTCACACTTGGAACTCACACAAGAGAACACAGGGGGCGGCGAAATTCTGAGGGGGGCGTGGTCAGTCTGAGGGAGCGTGATCAGTCTGAGAGGGTGTGGTCAGCCTGAGGGGGCGTGGTCAGTCTGAGAGTTGCATGGTCAGTCTGAGGGGGTGTGGTCAGTCTGAGCGGGTGTGGTCAGTCTGAAGGGGTGAGGTCAGCTTGAGGGGGCGTGGTCAGCCTGAGGGGGCGTGGTCAGTCTGAGAGTTGCATGGTCAGTCTGAGGGGCCGTGATCAGTCTGAGCAGGTGTGGTCAGTCTGAGCGGGTGTGGTCAGTCTGAGGGGGTGTGGTCAGTCTGAGGGGGTGTGGTCAGTCTGAGGGGGCGTGGTCAGTCTGAGAGTTGCATGGTCAGTCTGAGGGGCCGTGATGAGTCTGAGCGGGTGTGGTCAGTCTGAGGGAGTGTGGTTAGTCTGAGGGGGTGAGGTCAGCCTGAGGGGGCGTGGTCAGCCTGAGGGGGTGAGGTCAGTCTGAGGGGGCGTAGTCAGTATGAGGAGGCGTGGCCAGTCTGAAAGGCAGCAGCCAACGCTCATCATTCAACAACTGCTTTCAGACAGAAGTACAGGATTATTAGGCCGATTTTGGACCAGATTTACCCCTACGACAATCGTAAGAACGGTCCGAATATCGTAACAAAAAATCTGATGGATTTTCCTGCCGTGTGTGGTGTCTTAAGACTGTGCTCGTCGCTCTGAAGGACTTCGGGGCTGCTCCGATCTCAAATCGGGGATATCCAACATGTTGGATTGTTTTGGCCCAATTTCTTCTCGTGTGTGGTGTCCCCCGAGGACAGACGAGCGCGTTGCCATGACTGCGGCGTGTAGCCAATCAGAAGACGAGACGAGGCGGCGAGAAAATGCTGTGAAAAAACAACTCACCTCCATATCACGATGTATCAAGTACAGTCCGAGCTCGTGTTGTCTACACTTCTTTGACCATGGCCTTTTCTTTTGATTACGTCTTTTCTCTGCTAAAAACAAACTATCACCACTTCATCCTCTTCGTCCGCCATGATTGTTTACTCTGAAGTCACGCTTGATTTCGAGAGATTTTGTGAGCATTCTGTGAATGCTCGGGGGGGGGGAAACTGTGTGTGTGATGTGTGTGGTTTGCGTGATTTTGCCGTGTGGCTGCGCACCACACACTGTACGACCAAAGAGGTTAGACCCTTGATTTTGTATCTCCGTGTATGAGGTCTCACACAGAGAAAAAAATCGGGCCGACAATTTTAAAATCGTCTCGTGTGAACCAGGCTTTAGTGTTTTGGCTCAAGAGACCTCTTTGGTTTGGTCCAAGAATAAAAACCAAACCGTGTCCTTGAAGCTGCAGGTTTCATTACATGTACATTCATACATGGAGCAGTCGCTGGAGCAGACGACAACAACATAAACATCAATTACGTTCCGGCTGCAGTGAGTTCAGCGGCTTCAGGCTCATAAACCCTGGACCACACGTATCTGTCTGATTAGTGCTGTGTGTTTCCACCACAGTTTACATGTCACCGCCTCAGAGTGCTCGTGTATGTCAGCGAGAGAGACGTCCCATCACTCACACACACAAACACAGATGAACCTCAAAGTTGGATTTTTTTAAATTATTTTATTCATTTTTGTTGGTGAAGGTCGTGGTACAGTTTATGTTTCTGTTCCTGTATCTTTCCCATTGAATTGAATGGCCTAAATCTGTCCGGTCCAGTCGAAATACTCTATCCGTTTGTTGGGATTGTTCATCAAGAACAGATTCCACTGGAAAAAGGACGGACCCAGGACGGCAGCTTCCTCCACCTTGTAGAAATAACCCTCGTTGCCACGGATCTTTGGTTTGTGCTTGAAGTTCTCTGGCCTGAAGAAGCGTTCCACCTTCTCCCCAAACGTGGTTTTATGAATGATCCTTTTCCCGTGGTTTAGTGGCGTCCATGTTAGGTCAGCTCTGTACAGCTGTCTCCACTGAAAGAAGCCACTGATGAAGTCCCTGATGCAGTGGTCGTCTATAACGCAGTCCTTTGCTGTTTCTAAACAGTAAGTGGTCACGAAGGTGTCATCTGAGCCGCGGACCTGTTTTGTTGTACTTATTTTGTCTTTGAAGAAGGTCTTCAGGGCTTCAGCCGCCACTGGGCTCAGTGTGGAGTCGTAGTCCAAAGGCAAACGCTCTCTGCTCAATCGTAGGAAGAAACTTCTAAGTATAACCCTTTTATGCCACTCTATCGTACACAACTCTCCCGTTTTTAAACTATAAGCCAGAACCATCTGTGTCCAGCTGAACTTTAGATGAGGGTGATCGTCATACCACTCCTCACATTTGGCCTCAGCAGATTTAAGCAGTGAATCTCTTTGGTTTCCTACGTGGATCTGCTGCGTCTCTTCCTCCAGAGGCAAGTTATTCACACCAACCTGCTTCTTCATGAGGTCGACCAGCTCCTGTTGCTCAATCTTCAAAGCCTCCACGTCATGGTCCTTCTCCAGCAGCTGCTGCTTCAGGGAGTGGGCTTCAGCTGGAGACTCGGGCCTGTTCTCCGTAAAGATCCTCAGCCTTCTATCGTAGTACTCACACAGGAGGATTACATCCCTCAGTTGTTCCCTCAGGGTCAGGATGGTGGTTCTGGAGGACTGTCTCGCTGTGTACCAGGCCTCCTTCTGAAGCCACAGAGAACTCCTGACCTGGAGGTGGAGTCTCCTCTCACAGACGCTCTGCAGGAGATCTAGTTGGAGCTCGTGGACTCCATGTCCACTCGCACTCTCTACAGCTGTAAGGTGCTCGTGCAATTTCCTTTTACTGGAGACCTCCTCCAACAGCCACGCCTGCTCCTCCTCCTCTCTCCAGGGAACAGATGTTACTCCCATCTCCTGATCTTCTGAGATCCACCTCACCTCTTTCTCCTTCCAGATCTTCTCTGAGCGCTCATACTCCCTCTCCATATATCTCCACCGCCGCACCAGCTTCAACAGCCTGCTGTCCATCCTGTCCCCTTTGCAGAGAACTTCCGTAAGTGACCCTAACTCACAACTACAGGTGTGTCCTTAAATGGATCAGAATCAGAATGATTTTATTCTCGTCGTAACAGGAAGTCACTCTGAATTCCACGTTATTGTGCTAATGTTTGAGCAGCAGGACTTTTGTGGAAGTGTTTCGGTTCTTTATCCTCATTTGAATCCTTGTTTACTTTTGAATGCGCTGGGAAATGGCTACAAGTCCTAAGTAGCTCTGAAACAGTTGTTGTTTTGGTCCGAACCAAGTGGATCAGGTGACAATCCACAGGAGGAATGCTACCTTTTTGAAAAATGCTAATGAAGCATTCAGCATTTTACTTTGGACTAGAGCAGAGGAAATGGTCCGAACCAAGCGGCTACTCCCCCTTGTGACCCGTCCTGCTCCACCCAGAGGCTACACCACCTCTGCTGCTGTGACCTGAAGGGCTGTTGCTGATTATTACTGTTGTTAGCTTTTTAGAATGATCAATTTTATTTTTTACTGGACAACTGAATTTCTCCAACAGGGATCAATAAACTATCTATCCATCCATCTTCTTCCCCTTAAAGACCTTATGCCGGGTTTAAAAAAAAATAATTGTGGATATCAAAATTGCATGACAATGTCAATCTGAAAGAGATTCCGGTAAAAAAAATCCTATATTTTATAAAAAGAACGTGTTTTTCATGAATTTAAGTTGTCTATGCTCTAACCTGTGTGTGACGTCATAGCGGGTTACGCCCATGCATTGAAAACCATGGATCTATGCCACAGGAATGCCTTTTCTCTCTTCTCTCCACTGGTGCCCAACACAATAGTGCACTCTACAGGTGACAATTGCTCACTACACATAAATTGCCGTTTTGAGAGTGAAAAAGTGTCTGAGGTGGGATTTGAACCCCAGTATCTGGATTGGCAGTCCATCGACACAACCACTGGACTATCTCAGTGACAACAAAGTGTCACAATCTAGTAGTTATCTCACACTCACTGTACACAGCCTTGTCATCTTGAATATCCGCAAAAAAAGAACGAATACCAAATTGTGAACAGCGTTGAAACGTACCCGTTCTGACGTCACCAAGGGCTGTGAAGTTTTTTCGTTTCTAAGGGCGTTGCTATGGGGTTATTTCGATTTGGGTGGATCAGCCAAAAACACAACAACTGATTTTGAAACCTTTAGTAGTTCTCTTCTAATATAAAATGGTATTAAAACTGTATTTCTAAAAAAAATCAAACGCGGCATAAGGTCTTTAATCCATTTCTGGGTTGGGGGCGGCAGTCAGAGCTGCACCCAATACACTTAACACCAGCCCCTCACTGATCCTCTTGCAAGTGGTGAGTCCACAAGAGCCTTGATATTTCAGTGGGAGCTTCAGGCAAAGTGGGGTTAAGTGTCTTGCCCAAGGACACAACGACAGCAGACATCAGTGGGAGTCGGTGGAGAAGGTTCCATGGTGGGCTCTCGAAGCACACGAAGCTAGTTAGTGTATCCGCCGCCATTGTTGTTTACGTTTGTTCTCAGCTACTGCGCATGTCCAAATTTACGTGCGGGGAGCAGCAGGGAGGTGGGGGTCAGAGGAGGCAGAGATTTCACACCTTTTTCCCCTCACACGGGTGTGAAAGAGCCCCTGCTGAGCAGCGTTTCTGAGCTGTCCCACTCTGCAGGCTAGATCTGAATACTTATGTTTTCACCCCCCTGGAACACAGTCTCCGTATGAACATATGGTTGGTAGCAACCGACATCCAACTAGAGCGTTTTACTGCCACATTGTCTCCGTGTAAACGGCCCCTTACAGAGTTACAGAGCAGTAACTTTACAGCAGAAAGACAGAAAAGGTGTTGGTTCCTCAATTTAGAAGGTTTAGAAGGTTCTTGTAAGAAGGAAAAAGTCTAAAGAGGCTTGAATGGCTTATTACCTGGCGATTCAAATCAGGAAGCTGGCGCAAAGACCATCAACAGAGACAAGGGGGCCTTCACCTTGACTCACACTTGGAACTCACTTCTCAAGAGACCACAGGGAGCGTGGACAGTCTGAGGGGGCGTGGTCAGTCTCAAGGGGGCGTGGACAGTCTGAAGGGGGCTTGGTCAATCTGAGGGAGCGTGGTCAGTCTGAGGGGGCGTGGTCAGTCTGAGGGAGTGTGGTCAGTCTGAGGGAGCGTGGTCAGTCTGAGGGAGCATGTTCAGTCTGAGGGGGCGTGGTCAGTCTGAGGGAGCGTGGTCAGTCTGAGGGAGCGTGGTCAGTCTGAGGGAGCATGGTCAGTCCGAGGGTGCGTGGTCAGTCTGAGGGGGCGTGGTCAGTCTGAGGGAGCGTGGTCAGACTGAGGGAGCGTGGTCAGTCTGAGGGAGCATGGTCAGTCTGAGGGGGCGTGGTCAGTCTGAGGGAGCGTGGTCAGTCTGAGGGGGCGTGGTCAGTCTGAGGGAGCATGGTCAGTCCGAGGGGAGTTGGTCAGTCCGAGAGGCCGTGGTCAGTCTGAAGGGGGCGTCGTCAGTCTGAGGGAGCGTGGTCAGTCTGAGGGAGCGTGGTCAGTCTGAGGGGGCGTGGTCAGTCTGAGGGGAGTTGGTCAGTCCGAGAGGCCGTGGTCAGCCTGAGGACGCGTGGTCAGTCTGAGAGAGCGTGATTTGTCTGAGGCGGCGTGGTCAGCCCAAGGAGCCGTGGTCAGTCTGAGGGGGCGTGGTCAGTCTGAGGGAGCGTGGTCAGTCTGAGGGAGCATGGTCAGTCTGAGGGAGCGTGGTTAGTCTGAGGGAGCGTGGTTAGTCTGAGGATGCGTGGTCAGTCTGAGGGAGCGTGGTCAGTCCGAGGGAGCGTAGTTAGTCTGAGGGAGCGTGGTCAGTCTGAGGGAGCGTGGTCAGTCTGAGGGAGTGTGGTTAGTCTGAGGGAGCGTGGTTAGTCTGAGGATGCGTGGTCAGTCTGAGGGGGCGTGGTCAGTCTGAGGGAGTGTGGTTAGTCTGAGGGAGCGTGGTTAGTCTGAGGATGCGTGGTCAGTCTGAGGGAGCGTGGTCAGTCTGAGGGAGCGTGGTCAGTCTGAGGGAGCGTGGTTAGTCTGAGGGAGCGTGGTTAGTCTGAGGATGCGTGGTCAGTCTGAGGGAGCGTGGTCAGTCCGAGGGAGCGTAGTTAGTCTGAGGGAGCGTGGTCAGTCTGAGGGAGCGTGGTCAGTCTGAGGGAGTGTGGTTAGTCTGAGGGAGCGTGGTTAGTCTGAGGGAGCGTGGTCAGTCTGAGGGAGCGTGGTCAGTCTGAGGGAGTGTGGTTAGTCTGAGGGAGCGTGGTTAGTCTGAGGGAGCGTGGTCAGTCTGAGGGAGCGTGGTCAGTCTGAGGATGCGTGGTCAGTCTGAGGATGCGTGGTCAGTATAAGGGGGCGTGGTCAGTCTAGAAGGCAGCAGCCAACGATCATCATCAACAACTGCTTTCAGACAAAAGTACAGTCTGTGTTTAAGTGTTTTGGCTCAAGAGACCTCTTTGGTTTGGTCCAAGAACAAAACCAAACCGTCTCCTTGAAGCTGCAGGTTTCTGCCTGAATGTGTAGTGAAGTACGACAACAACATAAACATCAATTACGTTCCGGCTGCAGTGAGTTCAGCGGCTTCAGGCTCATAAACCCTGGACCACACGTATCTGTCTGATTAGTGCTGTGTGTTTCCACCACAGTTTACATGTCACCGCCTCAGAGTGCTCGTGTATGTCAGTGAGAGAGACGTCCCATCACTCAAACACACACACACACACACACACACACACTCAGAGACCATTACTGGAGAGAGGGGGAGCTGCTGCATTCAAACCAAATCTGCTGCAGATGAAGACGTACGGTTTGTTTTCGTAACTGCTCAGGAATAATGTGGACGATTTGGCGAATGGTTCATGCTTTACTGTGATGGCATGTGTGCGATGTTGCGTGTGCGTGGTCCGTGTGCGTGGTGCAAGCTATTTAGAGTGAAGATAACAGACTGTCTTCGGTGAGTGTCTTGGTGACTTCTTTTATCACTGCATAAAAATTAAGAGTAGGAGAAATGAATGTACTCCAAGCATTAGAAGGAGCAGAAGTGGAATTCACACAGGATGATTATTTGACTTTAGAGCAATGAAATAATAATCATATTGCATGGGTTTTACATTGTGCTTTCTGGACACTTCACATTAATTATTCATTCCCTCTAAACACAGTGGTGATAAACGACTGCTGTTGCAACAGAAGCAAGGAAACCAGTCTGTGCCATCGGCCCCTCCAACCACCACCAACCATTCACACACATACCAGACTCATACTCATGTGGGGGAAGTGTCCGGAGTTTGGCACTTTTCAGGCACAGCCGCCCCACTCTGCATTTGTAGTTTCATAACATGTGAATGTGCGCAGCATTATTTGAATTGTCTGAAAATATGGAACAACAATCCAATCTTTAAACCAGGACCACATGTATCTGTTGGATTAGTGCAGTGTTTCTCCACCACAGTTTACATGTCACCGTCTCAGAATGCGCACACACGCACACACACACACACACACACACACACACACGCACATACACTTTCAGATGAACCTCAAAGTTGGATTTTTTAAATGTTTTTATTCATTTTGTTGCTAAAGGTTGTGGTCCAGTTTATGTTTCTGTTCCTGTATCTTTCCCATTGAAGTGAATGGCCTAAATCTGGCCGGTCCAGTCGAAATACTCTATCCGTTTGTTGGGATTGTTCATCAAGAACAGATTCCACTGGAAAAAGGACGGACCCAGGACGGCAGCTTCCTCCACCTTGTAGAAATAACCCTTGTTGCCACGGATCTTTGGTTTGTGCTTGAAGTTCTCTGGCCTGAAGAAGCGTTCCACCTTCTCCCCAAACGTGGTTTTATGAATGATCCTTTTCCCGTGGTTTAGTGGCGTCCATGTCAGGTCAGCTCTGTACAGCTGTCTCCACTGAAAGAAGCCACTGATGAAGTCCCTGATGCAGTGGTCGTCTATAACGCAGTCCTCTGCTGTTTCTAAACAGTAAGTGGTCACGAAGGTGTCATCTGAGCCGCGGACCTGTTTTGTTGTACTTATTTTGTCTTTGAAGAAGGTCTTCAGGGCTTCAGCCGCCACTGGGCTCAGTGTGGAGTCATAGTCCAAAGGCAAACGCTCTCTGCTCAATCGTAGGAAGAAACTTCTGAGTTTAACCCTTTTGTGCCACTCTATCGTACACAACTCACCCGTTTTTAAACTATAAGCCAGAATTAACCCTGTCCATCTGAACTTTAGATGAGGGTGATCGTTATACCACTCCTCACATTTGGCCTCAGCAGATTTAAGCAGTGAATCTCTTTGGTTTCCTACGTGGATCTGCTGCGTCTCTTCCTCCAGAGGCAAGTTATTCACACCAACCTGCTTCTTCATGAGGTCGACCAGCTCCTGTTGCTCAATCTTCAAAGCCTCCAAGTTGTGGTCCTTCTGCAGCAGCTGCTGCTTCAGGGAGTGGGCTTCAGCTGGAGACTCGGGCCTGTTCTCCGTAAAGATCCTCAGCCTTCTATCGTAGTACTCACACAGGAGTATTACATCCCTCAGTTGTTCCCTCAGGGTCAGGATGGTGGTTCTGGAGGACTGTCTCGCTGTGTACCAGGCCTCCTTCTGAAGCCACAGAGTACTCCTGACCTGGAGGTGGAGTCTCCTCTCACAGACGCTCTGCAGGAGATCTAGTTGGAGCTCGTGGACTCCATGTCCACTCGCACTCTCTACAGCTGTAAGGTGCTCGTGCAATTTCCTGTTACTGGAGACCTCCTCCTCCAGCCACAGCTCCTCCTCCTCCTCTCTCCAGGGAACAGATGTTACTCCCATCTCCTGATCTTCTGAGATCCACCTCACCTCTTTCTCCTTCCAGATCTTCTCTGAGCGCTCATACTCACTCTCCATATATCTCCACTGCCGCAGCAACTGCAACCGCCTGCTGTCCATCCTGTCCCCTTTGCAGAGAACCTCTGTAAGCGATCAGAATGATTTTATTCCCGTCGTAACAGGAAGTCACTCTGAATCCCACTTCCTTTTGCTAAAGTTTGAGCAGCAGGACTTTTGTGGAAGTGTTTTGGTTCTTTATCCTCATTTACTTTTGAATCCTTGTTTACTTTTGAATGCACTGGGAAATGGCTACAAGTCCTAAGTAGCTCTGTTGTTGTTTTGTGCTTTACAATAGTTGTTTTTTTTTTGCTTTTTTCTACCTGAGACTGCAGTACAGTGTTCAAGCTAACACTGGGCCTCATTCATAAATATCTTCTTAAGAATCTTCTTATATTCCTACTTAAAGCTGCACTAACTAACTTTACAGTATTTTCGTATTCATTGGGAAAATGCAATCCATATCCTTCCCAGCTCTATCATTCTATGGTCACGCCATCCACGTTCAAATGTGTCCATATTGTTCCATATTGTGAGATGCTAGCTCCAAAGCTAACAGCACAGAGCACAGGCTGAGGGGGAGGGGGTAGTGAAGGGCGAAAGCTCCGTGGGTGCGGGGAGGGCGAGTAGAGAGAGCGAGGCCAGCGCTGCATTTGAAAATGTCTCAAAATCAGGTAGTGCAGCTTTAAGTCTTTCTTTAAGAAGATTTCTAAGAAGACCCTACGTGGGATTCATCAACGCGTTCTCAAGCCGCTGAACAGTTCGCAGCTGTTCTCTTAGAGTGATGATGATACCATCTCTTCGTAAATTAAGCACACGTGCCAGGTGAGTCATTAGCATAGGTACTTAGCATAGGTACTTAGCATAGGTACTTAGCATAGGTAACCCATTAATGCCTAAAGCAAAGAGTTACACGGAGCAACCGGGTCCTTTATTTCTTTTGCCAGACTGAGATTAAAGTCATAATATATTGACTTTAATGTTTAAATATTTTTGGGAATAAAGTTGAACTAGCAAAATTATTAGATTAATCTAAAAATATTATGAAATAATTAAACATCTCAAAATGTTATGACATTAATCTCAAAATATTTTGGACCCTGGGAGGAGATCCAGCACGGACCAGCGCTGAGACCAATGCAGACCTGAGGAGAGACCATAGACTGGAGAGACACGCGCTAACACGAGGAGACACCAGCGCAGACGTGTAATAGATCCATGGTAGAGACCAGCGCAGAGACTCAGCGCGGACCCCAAAACCTCCTGCAGCAGCAGTTTATATGCCATTGGTCTGTGGCCCGTGGATGAAGAAATGCCCCCTATAAATAGAATGGGGTCACTCAGTGACGGCATGATTTCCAATGTACTGTATTTGATAAAGCGTTGGCACATCTCATTTGAAAATGAACGAAAAAACCCTAAACTAACCCTCAATTACCACAAAAAGGAAATTAATAAATACATATCACGTAATGTTGTGTTTTATTGAACTTAACAAAAAAAGACAAAACCAGCGTGCGAACATGTCGGCACTGAATAGTGCTGAGTGCTTCTGAATATTTGCAGGATTGTGCTTACCTCAGAGAAATCCTGGGTAAGAGAAAAAATCATGAATGCCACAATCTTTGTAAAATCCTCGTAAGAAGGATTTACGAACAAATGTGTTCTTAAGAACAATTCGTGAATGAGGCCCATTGTTCCAAAATAAATCCATAAAAACTTGCAAGTAAATAAGTCATGTTTATTTATATAGCACCAGATAGAGTCCGAAAGCGCATTACAATCGTTCATCAATGATGTAAGCGGAGTCACCGTACGCCAGACCTACTGTACATGCTTTTAGTGGTAGGGGAAACCAGAGCACCTGGAGGAAACCTGCACAGACACGGGAGGAACATGCAAACTCCACATAGAAAGGCCTGCTAACTTGGCAAAAGTATCACCAAATAACCTGGAACAAAGTCTGCTGTCAGACCAATTATTCTTGACTTTTAAACACACAAATACTAAATACTTTTGATTCACTCATGAAATTAAGATATGTTTCAAATATAAATGCAGATTGACGACATATTCACTGGTTTATTTAACTCTCATGAGACAGGATTGCGTTGTAAAAAGAGCTGAAGGAGCATAAATCTCTGACTGCGTCAAGGAAAACAGTGTGCAAGGTCGTTCCGAGGCTGCTATTCATAAAAGCAGTCAAATCAAGTGTGCTGACAAGTGTGTAATGTGATTTAGCCTAGAATCAGCGCGTTAGCCGCACTCTGAGGAGAACCAGGTGTAGCAGCAGTGATGGACCATGAGACCATGAGACCAGAGACCAGAGCAGTACAGACATCTATCAATCTGCCAATGGTTTATTTGTGGACTGTAAGAGCCTGAGTGGTAGTAGTGGTAGTGGTAGTAATAAGTAAAAAGTAGTAAATAGTAAGTAGTAGTAGTAGAGGTGGTGGTAGTGGTAGTGGTAGTAATAAGTAAAAAGTAGTAAGTAGTGGTAGCGGTAGCAGTGGTAGTAGAAAGTGGGAAGTATGAAGTAGTCATGTCAGGATGATGGCTTCTCAATGATCGAAGACATGGGCTCAAACCCACGACCATTAGGACCAAAGACCAGTGCTCTTCCAACTGAGCTACTCTCACCCCAGTAGTAGTAATAAGTAGTATTAGTAGTGGTAGTGGTAGCGGTAGCACTGGCAGTGTTAGTAGTACTAGTAGTAATAAGTAGTAGTAGTGACCAAAAGCATATTCATGGGCAATACTTATGCTTAAAAAAGGGCCAATAGTTCCTCATTTTAACATGGATGGATCGGGGGGGGAAATGCATGTGTTGCATTAATAAACGAGATTAGATTAGATTAAATCACTTCAGAATCCTCTGAATCCAACATCTGCAGTTTTTCCCTCTGCTGTCGACATCACACCGAGAGTTCACAGGTTCTCGCTCTCGGACGTCTCTGTTTCGCTGTAAATGTGAGAGCAGCTCGTGGTCATGTGCAATTTCACACTCGACAAATGCTTTTCCCAGTGATGCTCAGAGCACAAGGACACATGAATAACCCAGAAGTGTCTGTGCATCTACGGCAACAACACTTTGGTGATGTTTGCACTGACGCAGAGGAGGGGAGGAGAGTTTATTTGTACAGCGCAATCATACACAAGGCGTCGACACGAGAGGAAACGCTACAGTCGTAAAATATTCATGTATTCACAGCTCCTGATAGATTTGTTATGGTCTCTTTGCTTGGTCCAGTGTGTTGTTTAGTCATATTTATGTATGAGTTTGAGTTTGTCTCACATTTTCAGAAAGACTGCTCAAATTTTAGCTGGATAATTGTCAAAGCTGACTCTGGGACCAGCAGGAGGCCAGTCCCTGTGCTCCTCAGAGTCTCAGAAAGAGGCCAATCCCTGTGCTCCTTAGAGTCCCGGCAGACCAGTCCCTGTGCTCCTCAGAGTCCCAGCAGGAGGCCAGTCCCTGTGCTCCTCAGAGTCCCAGCAGGAGACAAGTCCCTGTGCTCCTAAGAGTCCCAGCAGGAGGCCAGTGCCTGTGCTCCTCAGACTCCCAGCAGGAGACAAGTCCCTGTGCTCCTCAGAGTCCCAGCAGGAGGCCAGTCCCTGTGCTCCTCAGAGTCCCAGCAGGAGACAAGTCCCTGTGCTCCTCAGAGAGTAGAGACCTGAGCATAGGACTAATGTGAGATACATTTTTAAAAAGGGGTTGACCAAAGCAAACTCTTACAAACTTAGACCCATTCCCCATATATTAATAATAATAATAATGATTATTATTATAATAATAATGATTATTATAATGCATCGGGTTTAGAAAGTGCGTTTCTGAACTCTCATAATTTCTCTACGTGTCATTATTCATTCCCTTCATACACAGTGGTGATAAACTACTATAGCAGCCAAAAAACGTCAAAAAGAACAATACAAAAGCAAGTATTAAAATAACTGGAGTAAGCATAGACGCACACACTTAGATAAGATAAACTTTTATTAGTCTCACAGTGGAGAAATGTCAGTGTCATCGTTGCGCACATTACAGCAGAGTAGAGCATTAGCCTTAAGGCCAGAAGGTCGTGGGTTCAATTCCCACCTCTGCACCTTCTCCATCGACTCCCACTGATGACTGCTGTCGTTGTGTCCTTGGGCAAGACACTTAACCCCACTTTGCCCAAAGACCCCACTGAAAGATCAAGGCTATGCTCACACTCAGAGAGCAGCCGTCCTCCTGTGGACTCACCACCTGCAGAGGGTCAGTGAGGGGCTGGTGCTATGAGACTTGGGTGGCATCTCTGATTGCCACCCCCCTGACCCAGAAATGGATTAAAGGGTAGAAAATGGATGGATGGATTTAAGATAATACACAATAAAATTAAGATAAGAATAAAATAAAATAAAATAAACTCTGGGCTATAATTGCACTCGGTTCAGAAGTATTTACAGATGTATATATTGTACTTTAGCAGCGTAGATAATGAGAATATGAATAGGGATAGATAGAGAGAATAGAGAGAGAGAGACATAGAATGATAGAGATGGATAGAGGGACATAGAGAGAATAGAGAGAGAGAGAGAGACAGAACGAGAGAGAGAATAGAGAGAGACATAGAACGATAGAGAGAGAGAGAATAGAGACAGAGAGAGACAGAATGATAGAGATAGATAAAGAGATTAGAGAGAGATATAGAATGACAGAGAACAGAGAGAGAGACATAGAACGATAGAGAGAGAGACATAGAACGATAGAGAGAGAGAATAGAGACAGACAGAGAGAGAAAGAACGATAGAGAGAGAGAGAATAGAGAGAGACATAGAATGATAGAGATAGATTGATACAGTATATATAGAGAGTATAGAGAAATAGATAATTATAAAAACGGAGCCCAACCCTGCATGTGTCCTGAAGCACATGTGGCCTCTGTCTCAAGGTGAAGTCTTTGTGATGTCGCATGTGATGTTTGCTTTGACCTTATGAGAGCAGAGTCAGCACCGGGCGCTGATTTACGGCCGTCGTTCAGGCGCCGCCACTCACCGCCGCACGCCGTTCATCTTTCACCGTCTGACGTGTGAGTGTGCGAGAGACAAACAGCGGCGGATCGCAGCCATGCATTATTCAACACTCACAACTAATGACTTCTGGATGTGTGCAGCGATGGAGGCCTCACACCAGGAGGAGGCGGCGAGGAGACGCTGAGGAGAGAAGGCAAGGAGACGGTGAGGAGGAGGCGGGAGACGGCGGGGAGACGGCGAGAAGAAGGCGAGGAGACGGCGAGGAGAAGGTGAGGAAAAGTTGAGTAGAAGGCAAGCAGACGGCGAAAAGAAGGCAAGGAGAAGGCGAGGAGAGAGCGAGGAAACGGCAAGAAAAAGATGAGGATGCAGCGAGGAGGCGGCGAGGAGGCGGCTAGAAGGCGGTAAGGAGAAGCCAATTAGAACGCAAGGAGACGGACACATAGACGGTGAGGAGAAGGCGAGGAGACGGCGAGGAGGGGGCGAGGAGGGGGCGAGGAGGGGGCGATGGGGTGGCAAGGAGACGGCAAGAAGGTGAGGAGACGGAGAGGAGGCGGTGAGGAGACGGCGAGGAAACGGTGAGGAGGTGGTGAGGAGGCGGCGAGAAGGCGACGAGGGAAGGCAAGGAGACAGCGAGGAGAAGGCGATGAGACGGCCAGGAGGTGGCGAGAAGGTGGCGAGGAGAAGGTGGCGAAGAGAAGAAGGCAAGGAGACGGCCAAGAGGTCGCGAGGAGGCGGCGAGAAGGTGGTGAGGAAGCGACGAGGAGGAGGCGGCGAGGAGGCGGTGAGGAGACGGCAATAAAAACACAGATGGCAAAAAGAAGACAAGGTGACAGGGAGGAGACGGTGAGGAGAAGGCGAGGAGAGAGAAGAAAGGTCTGTGTATAAAAACTGAATTACGTTTATCTTCAATTCAATCCAATTTATTTCTTTATCGCTCTAAAACACAACAGCAGTGATCGCTGAGGACGTTGCATTCACAGATCAGAGACTGTTCAAACTGAGGAGATGCAACGATAAAAACCACTCAGAGCCATTGGTCCAGGAGGAGCAGAGACCCCCGGGGCAGACCCACATGGAGGGAGGGCTGTCCAGGACTCATGGGAAAACACACCAATGCATGAGGGCTTTGGGGTGGACGGATTGGCTCGGTAAAAGTTAACCCTTTAAGCACCAGATATTTTTTCTGAATTTCTTGACAACTTAAAAGTGATACGAGATCGAGGATTATGTAAATTACAGAAATGATGAGGAAGGCCTAAAGTTTATGCAGGAATTAAATGTATCCATCTAATTTGCATATTATGACTTCATCCTGTACTGGCAATTGTGGATTTTCCTTTTTTTTTTTTTTTCACACTGACAAACACAGATCACTAGGACAAGAACACAAAAACAGAACTCACATTGTATCGTACTCAAGGGTCAGAGAAATTGTAAAACAGAGAAAATCTTTTTGTGGCATGGAGTTTAAATGTATTTTGACACCCTGCTTGACACAATCTTCAGTCAATTCTGAGTTTGAATACTGGTCGGAACGGGGTCATTCTGAGTGGAGTTTGCATGTTCTCCCTGTGTCTGCTCCGGTTTCCTCCTGGTGCTCCGGTTTCCCCTACCACTTAAAACATGTACAATAGGTCTGGCATGCGCCTCCTCTTCGGCGACCTCACACCCATCTCTGTGTGGAGACAAAAGGCCTAAGAAACAACAGTTGTAACGTGCTTTGTGACTCTCTGTCTCGCTGTGAAAGGGGCTGTATAAATAATGATCACCCACTTACTTACTCACATTCGGCAGTTATCGCAAATTATCGACTTAAGGTACATTGTGCAGTTTTTGCTCCCATCTAGCATTGATATCGTAATTTACGATACTACGTTAGCTTAACAGGACAATAATATGCTGTCTTTGACTGTGGTTCTTAACTCCCGGTCAAACTTCTTTGTGTTTCAAGTAAGTAAGTAAGTAATCTTTATTTATATACTGCCTTTCACAGACCAGAGTCACAAAGCGGTTTACAATTGTTATTTTTGGGCAATTGTCTCACTCCACACAGAGATGGGAGCGGGGTCTAAGCCCTCTAAGCCTATGACAACAATTCAAAAACATAGTGGAGGTAAATATTCTTAAAAAGGTCACATTTGTTTTTGGTTAACATGTTTTTTTCATTCGGAGAAACTGTAAAAATTACACAGAGTACCTTTACTGTAAGTCAACCGTGTCTAAGTCTACGGTGTTAAAACTAGAGCCTCTTTTTCCTTGTCCTTCAGTGAGTCTTTTTAACATACATCTTCTGCTTCCCTGTTATCGTCCCCTGTCCCTGACACCTGCTCCGGCCTGTATCTCTGTATCTCTGTATCTCTACATCTGTGTCTCCTCTGTGTCCCCCGGTGGGAGCTCTCATCAGCGGTGCTCCAGGCTCCGGCAGGCCCCTACATGCTGCCACACCACTCTAGGCTCCTGTGCTGATAAGGAGGCTGGATGGGAGCCGTCAGGGAGGAGTGTGTGGAGCTCCAGGCCCCAGCGGCGGGTTTGCGTTCCCTGGGGAGCAGTGTCGAGACCAGCCACTTCAAACACAGAGAGACACAGCGGTGGCTCCTCTTCTACTACTGTGTTTGTAGACTGTGAGGACGAGGTAAAACATGTGGATTTGTGTTTTTATGCTCTGGTTTGCAGCCTTTAGGTTCAAGCTCCTGAATCAAGGACAATTTAGTTAATTGGCTTCTCACAAACGGTTCTCTACATTATTGGTACAACTTTTTCTTTGAATTATATCTGTTGTTGATTTTAGTAGTAAAACACTGGCCTTCTTCAGCCTCAGTCCTGGATCTAAAGCAGTGGGGGCGGGTCCCGGCTCAAAAATGTCCAAAATGACGTGCGCTGACATGCTTGCAATACCACCCCGATGGGGGTGGACCCGGAGTGAGAATTATTCAATGCTAGTGTACAGCATTTCATTTTCCAGCCCCGCTGCCATTTTGAAAAGCCCCATAGACCGCGGAAGTGGTGGCACATTTGTTTGAACGCCGGAGATAGACGTGACTACATTCGTCTACAGTCAAGTATATGTCAGTTTTTCACCCAAAGCTATTTGTAAACAATAATAAACAGTTTATACCCAGCTTTAGCGCCAACTGCAAGTGCAGTGGATTTTGGGCATAAAAAGCATTGTTGTGGTCAGAGAGTATGGATGCGATGACAGAAACGTTATCTGATGGGAAAGAAGGTCTACAGCCTCAGTCCTGGTTCTTCAGCCTCCATCCTCGTTCTACAACTGTTAGATTCTCTGATCTGAAGTTGGCAAAGCTTGGTACTTTCTTCAGGTCTCGGATCTGTTCTCTGTCGATAATCATGCCTCCCAAGAAGTCACAATCCAAGGACATCACCAACTCTCAAATAGGAGACGCTGACCCCTCCTGTGAACTGACTATAGCGTCTCTCGAAGCTACCCTGCAGAAGTTTTTTACTGAAGCTGATAAGCAGTCAAAAGAGCGCTTTGAAAGGCTTGAAACCCAGCTCGACTCTTTCAAAATCACTCTGGAGAAGCACTCTAAGGAGCTGGATTCTCAGCGAAAGCTAACTACCATTCTTCAAAATCAAATGAAGCGGGTTGAGGACGCTACTACAGAGAGCTGCGAGAGCCTGAAGAAACTTGAAGAGAAAGTCATTTCAATGGAAGACAGAAGCAGGCGGAACAACTTAAGGTTAATAAACCTTAGGGAAGGTGTGGAACAAAGTCACGCAATAACTTACCTGACGCGTATCCTTCCCAAGTGGTTCCCTGAATTGGGCAGTGATCCAGTGGATATCATGCGAGCGCACTGGGTCGGTCCTCCGCTCCTTCAACCGCTCCTTCTCGAACCATGATTTTGAACTTTCTTCGCTTCACTGACAGAGACAGGATCCTGGGTCTGGCTCGGAAAACAGAGGTAGTAGTGGATGGCCTAACAATCCGCTTCGCTGCTGATTATAGCGACGCCACCGCTCGCCTCAGGCGTCCTTGCTTTCCGCTAATGAACCGGGCTCGTAGCTTGGGATACGAAGCTTTTTTGTTATATCCCGCTGTCATCAAGCTGACCCGGGGTTCCGAGCAGCTCTTGTTTGATGATCCAGAGAAGGCATCCAAGTTCATTGACTCCATTGATCCGCACGGGACCATTGTTGACTCTTAGCTTCGGCCTGGTCCAGTGGTATGAGTTCACGTGCTGTTGTTTACTTCCGCAAGTGCGTCTTGCCCCGCCTCGTTACGCCTGACATCAGTTTACGGAGGTTATGCTGACAAGGTATTTTCATTTTGTTTCTATTTTTTGGCTCTTGGATTCTTAATTATATGACCAAGAAGGTTGCTGTTCTGTGTTTGTTTTTCTTTCTTTTTTTGTTATGTTTTCCAACTCTGAGTGATAGTACTTTTAAACCGTTAAGGTTCTCCCTTATTTCTTTTTGTTATAAGAATAAAGTGTTGCACTAAGAATCTGCACATACTCAGTTGTTGTATATGCTCAGGGAAGGGCTTAAAGGCAGTTTGCGGGTACTCTATCTGAATGTACAACATTGTTTTTTTCTCTTATTATTTTTATTTTATATGTGTGTGTCTGTGTGCATGTATGCTTGATTGTTTGATTGAATTTTGGCTGCTCTCATGTTCGTCTCTCTCCTCTCTCTCTCACCTTCACAAACCTGACATGCTCAGTGTATTCTACCTGAACAATGAAGATAGATTTGTAAACAATGGGTAAAGGTCTTCATGCTATTCACCTAAATATTCGTAGCCTTCAACCTAAAATTGATCAACTCAGAGCATGGCTTGTTCACAATAATCCCAGCATTTTAACCTTCTCTGAAACTTGGCTTACTGACAACATTACAGACTCAAGTATTAAACTCGAGAGCTATACTGTTTATCGAGCTGACAGAGGTTCAAGGGGAGGTGGGGTTGCCACCTACATTTCTTCTAATCTGAAATCACATTTAATAATTCCTGACGTGAAACCTGAACTTTTTGAAGGTATCTTTATTAAAATCTTTCTTCATGAAAATAAGCATTTGATTATTGGCAATATTTATCGACCTCCGTTCTCTCCCAAATTAGAGTCTGTTAAGAACATTATAGCCACTGTTTCATCTCTTGGTGACCCAAAGGAACAGCTCACAGTAAAGATGGCGCCTCGTACGGTCGACATGGCTCTTTGCTGCTCTCTTTTTCTTTTGTTTTTACTTTTTAACTGTGCATCTGGCTGTTCCTACACCCGTGAGGAACTTATGAACATCCGACCCACCGTTCCCATGGACCTATTGCCTGTTTTCTTGGCATCTGCGGCTGATTTAGTTCATGTTCTAGCCAAAAAAGTGTGGGCCCGTAAAAGGGGACAGCGCGGAGGCCTGCTCGTGCGTCTTAGGAGGAGAGGAGCGCGCACGGCTCTCCCCGGCATTTTTCTCTCCAACATACGCTCACTGGGCAATAAGATGGACGAACTCAGCCTGCTCATGAGAAGAAACAAGGACTTCGCCACATCCTGTGTCCTCTGCTTCACTGAGACCTGGCTAAATGAGCGGATCCCGGACTGCGCTCTGGAGCTGCAGGGCTTTGGGCTGTTCCGCGCGGATCGCCATTGTGCGCTCTCAGGGAAGAGCAGAGGCGGAGGGCTGTGTTTCTACGTCAATACAAACTGGTGTAACAATGTGACAGTGATCTCCAAGCACTGCTCTCCTGCTCTGGAATATCTTTTCATCCATTGTAAACCATATTACTCCCCGCGCGAAATTGTTTCATTCATTCTTGCCTCTGTTTACATACCGCCATGCGCGGACGCGCGCGAGGCTCAGCGCGCACTCGCAGAGCAAGTACTGTGTATGGAACGCTTATACCCGGACTCTCTGATTATTATCCTGGGGGATTTTAATAAGGGAAACTTGAGCCAGGAATTACCCAAATACAGACAGTTTATCAAATGCCCGACCAGAGAGGAGAACACTCTGGATCACTGTTACACCACCGTGCGCGGAGCTTTTCGCGCTGTTCCCAAGCCAGCCCTCGGCTTCTCAGATCACTCCATGATACATCTGGTTCCTGCTTACAGACAGAGACTAAAGCTCTCGAAACCTGCAATGAGGAGCTCCAAAGTGTGGTCTGATGAAGCTGTGGAAGAGCTGCGCGCATGCATGGAATCTACAGACTGGGACCTTTTCAGAGCTGCCACAGATAGTTTGGATGAATATACGGACACTGTGACGTCATACATTCACTTCTGTGAGGATAGCATCATTCCAACAAGGACCAGGGTCATCTATAACAACGACAAACCCTGGTTCACTGCTAAACTCCGGCAGCTCAGGAAAGCAAAGGAGTCTGCTTTCAGGGAGGGGGACCGCAGCGGCTACAAAGCAGCTAAATATCAGTTCAGGAAAGAACTGAAAGCAGCCAAGTCCCGGCACAGAGAACGACTACAGGAGCAGTTTGGTAACAACGATACTGCTTCTGTCTGGAGGACCCTACGGGAGATCACCAACTACAAACCCAAAGCCCCCCCCTGTGCTGACGACCACAAGCTAGCTGACGATATGAACTTATTTTTCAGTCGCTTTGATGCTGCCCCTGACACCTCTCCCACCCCCCACTACTCTAACGACCCACCCATCAGCCCTGCCCCCAGCCTAACAATAGCCGCTAAAGAGATTAAACAACTCTTCTTGAGGCTGCACCCCCTGGCTCCTGGCCCGGACCACGTGTCTCTGGCCACTCTGAGACACTGTGCCAGTGAGCGTACTCCTGTGTTCACGTACATTTTCAACACCTCTCTGCAGTCCTGCCATGTCCCGGCCTGCTTCAAATCCTCCATCATTGTCCCCGTCCCGAAGAAGCCCAGGATCACAGGACTCAATGACTACAGACCTGTAGCACTTACGTCTGTCGTCATGAAGTCATTTGAACGCCTGGTTCTCTCCCATCTCAAGTCCCTCACCTCCCCCCTCCTGGACCCCCTGCAGTTCGCCTACAGAGCCAACAGATCTGTAGACGACGCCATTAACCTGGCCCTCCACCACATCCTACAGCACCTGGAGTCCCCGGGGACCTACGCCAGGGTCCTGTTCGTGGACTTCAGCTCTGCCTTCAACACAATCCTGCCATCCCTGCTCCAGGACAAGCTCTCCCAGCTCAACGTGCCCGATTCCACCTGCAGGTGGATCACTGACTTCCTGACGGACAGGAAGCAGCGAGTGCGTCTGGGGAAGAATGTCTCGGACTCTCGGATTATAAATACAGGAGCCCCACAGGGCTGTGTTCTTTCTCCCCTGCTCTTCTCCCTGTACACCAACCACTGCACCTCCAGCCACGACTCCGTGAAGCTGATCAAGTTCGCGGACGACACCACCCTCATTGGACTCATCTCCAACAACGATGAGTCCGCCTACAGGAGGGAGGTGGACCGGCTGGTGTCCTGGTGCAGTGGTAACAACCTGGAGCTGAACGCCCAGAAGACAGTGGAGATGATTGTGGACTTCAGGAAGAGCACTGTCCCCCCACCCCCACCCTCCGTGATGGACTCCCCCATCACCTCTGTGGAGTCCTTCCGTTTCCTGGGCACCACCATCACCCAGGACCTCAAGTGGGAGCCAACCATCAGCTCCCTCATCAAGAAGGCCCAGCAGAGGATGTACTTCCTGCGGCAGCTCAGGAAAGCCAAGCTGCCTGCACAGATGTTGGTGCAGTTCTACACGGCCATCATCGAGTCCATCCTCACCTCCTCCGTCACCGTGTGGTTCGCTGGAGCCACAGTCAGGGACAAACAGAGACTACAGCGCATTGTGCGCTCTGCAGAGGAAGTGATCGGCCGCAGCCTTCCATCGCTGCAGGACCTGTACGTCGCCCGAGCTCGAGGCCGGGCTGGTTGTATCACAGCCGACCCCTCTCACCCTGCACATGGACTGCACATGGACTATTCCAACCACTCCCCTCTTGAACACTTCTTAACCTGTCCCCCCGCCCTTTATAAAGTCACTTTACTGCCCATCATACGTCACTTTACTTCACTGTACTGCTGTCACCTTACATTGTGTGCACCATGTGCACTTGTATATTGTAAATAGTAACTGTAACTCTATTTTAAATTTAAATTTATTCTTTAGAAGTGTTTTTTATTCTTATTTTTATTATCTCTTTTTGACTGTTGCACTGAGCCAAAGCAATTTCCTAGTCTGTGACCTCCTGTTACTTACGTGGCAATAAAAATGATTCTGATTCTGATTCTGATTCTAATGGGGGATTTCAACCTAAATTGGTCTGACTCATCGACACTCACTGAACAAAACCTTTTTAAGAGCTCTAATCTAACTCAAATGATTAAAGATCCAACAAGAACAGGTCCAAATTCTAATTCTCTTCTTGATTGGATTTTAGTGACGCACCCCAATCGGATAATTCAATCTGGCGTTCTCTCAGATTGTTTTAGTGACCATTCTATGATTTATTGTGTTTGGAAAATTTCTACTCCCCGTCTTCCTCCTAAATTTATCTGGGTACGTGATATGAAATCTTTTAATATTATTGCATTTATAAACGACTTACAAATGGTCAATTGGTCCAGGCTGGAACTAATTCCAGATGTTGATAATGCATGGGACCTCTTTCATTCTGAACTTATGGAAGCTATTAACAAACATGCACCATGGATCAAAATAAAGGTTAAAGGTAATCATTTGCCCTGGGTAAATGGTGATCTTATAAACCAGTTTAAAAAAAAGAGATAGGGCCTCACCACTCCCCTCTCACCTGCACATGGACTATTCCAACCACTCCCCTCTCACCTGCACATGGACTATTCCAACCACTCCCCTCAGGCAGGAGGCTGCGGTCCATCAGGACTAGAACCTCCCGCCACAAGAACAGTTTCTTCCCCTCTGCTGTTGGACTCTTGAACACTTCTTAACCTGTCCCCCCGCCCTTTATAAAGTCACTTTACTGCCCATCATAACGTCACTTTACTTCACTGTACTGCTGTCACCTTACATTGTGTGCACCATGTGCACTTGTATATTGTAAATAGTAACTGTAACTCTATTTTAAATTTACATTTATTCTTTAGAAGTGTTTTTTTTATTCTTATTTTTATTATCTCTTTTTGACTGTTGCACTGAGCCAAAGCAATTTCCTAGTCTGTGACC